TTCCGTATTAAACATCACTTAGAAAAATACACCTACAGTAGCTATTTTCATACCCATTTCTAATAATAGTTCCAGCTTCACTGTTTTCCTCCCTGGTTTCTCCTAATAGTTTACAAATCTACATTCATTTCTGGTTACCTTAATATCTTACAATTTCAGTGAAATCACCTTATACCCCCTGTTTTATACCAAGCAGAAGCCAAAAGAAAAACCACTTTCCTGGGATTTAATGGTTCAAATCTCTGTCAACAAGGAACAGGTTACTCATCTTGGAGAACAGGCACAGGTAACAATGGCAAACCACCAACAGGCTAAAATTTATGGGTCAAATCTTTGAAGAAATGCCTATGTAACTTTGTGATGTGCCAACTCTGTGGAGTTTTACCTCAGGGCTTTTCAAATCTCATTTTCACGCACAAGATGATCCGGTTTCATGTTTCATTTAATTCAATCTTTTAAGTCTATAAATAGCCCCACTGGTTTAATTTTTAGCCATATTTCTAAGTCCATTAGGATTCCAGGTCTCCAGACTATTCACTGGGTTATATCTAAACCAGATTTTGATGAGCAGTTTTTAAAATCCCAGTTAAGTATCAAAGAACTGGTCGTTTTAGTAAAGAATTCCAGATCTAGGCCTTTTAGCACATCCAACTTCTTGTACTTCCCACTTTGCTATCCCAAATTCCCTACTACCTTTTTGGTTCCCTCCTCTTCTCATCATGCACACAAAATGGAGACAGTTGGAAGAAAACAAGCATGGAACAGAGTACTGGGTCTACTTCCAATCCAGAAAAAGGCTGTAGGCAAATAGGACATGGTAGAAGAAAAAGCCCCAGGATGAAAGGAGAAGCAGAATCGTTTTCCATGAGGGAAGAGAGAAAACAACACGTACCTTTACAATGGCAAAGCCCAGGATGACAAGCATAGCATAGCTGATAACACTCTGCAGCCCAGACTCCAGCTCATCAGCACAGCCCTGCCGTGAAAGAGATGGGTGAAGATCAATCAACAAATGTCCTTCAGCTGGATGGTTTTTGGCTATTTTTCCCCTCCTCACCACTTAAAATGAAGCATGACCTTGTTGGTCCTGTCTAACCAATCCCTGCAGATCTAAGGGCTTCTATTTTCATCTTCCAGACCCAATGGCTTGTCAGTGACCTCTTGCTTGGGGAGGTGCCCAAAACTCAGAGCCAAGAAGATGAGCAATGGTATCTACAGAACTCCATTGATGTGCTTGTGGCCCAGACCGAAAAACTTGGTATCTTCTCTGCAGCTGCCTGAGAGGAGGTTGGAGCCAGGGGGGTCGGGCTCTGCTCCCCAGGAACAAGGGATGGGACAAGAGGAAATGGGCTGCAGTGGTGCCAGGGGAGGCTGAGATGGGATGTTGGGCAGCATTTCTTGCTGGCCAGGGTTGTCAGGCCCTGGCCCAGGCTGCCCAGGGCAGGGCTGGAGTCCCCATCCCTGGAGGGGTTTCCAAGCCGTGTAGATGTGGTGCTGAGGGACATGGGGCAGGGGTGGCTTTGGCAGGGCTGGGGGAAGGGTTGGGCTTGATGGTCTTGAAGGTCTTTTCCAACCAAAACAATCCCATTATTGTATGCAATTCTCCAGATTCCTAGTCAATCCTAGAAGAGAATCTTGCCCTACCCCTGATCTGTTTGAACAACAACATGCCCATAACAAGCACTGTGGCTTTGTCATGTTGCTCCTACAGCAGCAGGAGATGGACAGTTACCAGCAGACAGGCAAGACCAAACATCCAGACCTGTGCTCCTCCTTCATCATCTAGCAGCTTTGACACAACTACATGAGAAAGAAGTGAGCTAGAGGAAAAACACAAGGAAATAAAGGCTTGGGGGACAAACTGTTGAAAATAATTGGATGAAGTTATTCCCCAAATCCTGCCTCAAGTGCTTTCCTCATCGGTTCTGGCTGGTTCAGAGGAAGAAACTTCATGTGACACTTCATCCTCACCCGTGTGTAGAGCTCCTGGGGCTGATCCAGACGCCCTGTGCAGTTCATCTCCTGCATGCAGCAGCTCAGGGGGACACTGTTGTTACCAGTGGCATTAAACCACTGTGTGGTGGTCCAGTCACTGTAGTTCTTCACCCCACAACAATGAAGCTGCCAAGCACAAGACAGACACGGACGGGTGAATACATATAAACATGGGTTGTAAGGTTGAGTTGAGCCTCTTTTAGGCATCCTGGGCAAGAGCTGCCCTCTGCAGGCAGCTGGTTTACAAAGAGCAGTACTTGAGGAGAACAGTAGATACAACAGATCCACCTCCTCACACACGTTACTGCCTCCTTACGTGTCTATTCTTTCTGAAAGCTCCAACACGAAAGTGACGGGTTGCAGGATCAAATCTCCTGTCATCTTTCTATTTTATGGTGGTCCAGGATTCTCAGCAGCAGCTACTCAGATGTACTCATTGAATCCCAAGGCCACTGGTGTCAACAAGGTCATTCCTTGACAAGGACTTCCCACCAGGAGCCTCAAGATGCCAACTCCACCAAGTGGGAAGCACTTTCTTTGGAGAAACAGATGCCAACCATTGCTGCAGAGCTGAGTCCCAGGGTGCAACCACTCTGACCCTCTTTTCCCAGCCTAGATTCCTTGCTTAGGGCTCAACTTCTCTTTTCTAAAGAACTCTCAGGACAATATAAGCATTTTCTGACCTGCTCTTGCAAGTAATCCATAATAGTAGACTCTTCACTCTTCCCATCATACTTCTCAAAGACCGAGCGCATTGTGACTTGCACGTCAGCTTTCACCTATTTAGAGAGGAAAAAAAAACCCAAACAACCCCCAAACAAATTGCTTTAATACAAGTCCCCATCCCTGGAGGGGTTTCCAAGCTGTGTAGATGTGGTGCTGAGGGACATGGGGCCTTGGCAGGGCTGAGGGAGTGGTTGGACTGGGTGATCTTCAAGGTCTTTCCCAAACTATTTTGTGAAACTCCAAAAGATCTGTATCCCAACTAAGTCAGGGAAAAAAACATGGTAAAATAAAAATCAAGTGATGTTTTCAGGTAAATTGCAGGTAGCACTTAACCAGAACCACCTTCTTGGAGAGAAGAAGCTTTCCTCCCCTGATGGAAGAGCCCTCCTTTTTAAGCATCAACAACTGTTTACTCCAATTTAAGTGCCTGCCAGGTTCTTTATGTATTCACTGTGTTACCAACAAAGAGTGATCATAGCATCATAGAATTCCATGTTGGAAGGGACCTCGAGCATCATCTGCTCCAACCTTTCTTAGCAAAAACACAGCCTAGACAAGGTGGCCCAGCACCCTGGCCAGCTTGTGTAGATGTGGTGCTGAGGGACATGGGGCCTTGGCAGGGCTGAGGGAGTGGTTGGACTGGGTGATCTTCAAGGTCTTTCCCAAACTATTTTGTGAAACTCCAAAAGATCTGTATCCCAACTAAGTCAGGGAAAAAAACATGGTAAAATAAAAATCAAGTGATGTTTTCAGGTAAATTGCAGGTAGCACTTAACCAGAACCACCTTCTTGGAGAGAAGAAGCTTTCCTCCCCTGATGGAAGAGCCCTCCTTTTTAAGCATCAACAACTGTTTACTCCAATTTAAGTGCCTGCCAGGTTCTTTATGTATTCACTGTGTTACCAACAAAGAGTGATCATAGCATCATAGAATTCCATGTTGGAAGGGACCTCGAGCATCATCTGCTCCAACCTTTCTTAGCAAAAACACAGCCTAGACAAGGTGGCCCAGCACCCTGGCCAGCTTTTAAAGTGTCCAGTGTTGGAGAATCCATCCCCATTCCCACTTGCCCTGCAGGATAGGGAGTGAAGTGCAAGGAAACTGGAATGTTGTAACAACACAAGATCTATTCTTTACTTCTAGGTTACTGCAGAAATGCTAATTCTTTGCTTACCTTTTCCCTGTACACAAATCCCAGGACAAAAGCAGATACTTCTGCAATAAAGATAATCAGGATAATGGCCAAGAACTGCAATTCAAAGAGAGAGACTGTAAGTTCCACATTACCCACCACAATAATTTCTGGTGGTCAAGTTATCCTTCCCTGTTTTTGCCTCTCTAATCAAAATAGTTTCCAGAAAATAATTTAAAAGAGGAGATTCCTGTGCATGGCTGGGATTGGGGCTGTGGTTCCATGGGGTCTGTGCCCAATGCAGGCAGGGACCTGTGTGAAGAGCTTATGAAACCCTTCCCAAGGTGGAGGACACAGATAAGCTGAGTTAGGCAGTTGGGCCCTGCTTGCTGAGCTCATGTTGCCCTCAGGGCACAACTGAAGGCCCCAAGTTAGTGACCTTAAACCTTTCTGGAGGTAAAAAAAAATAAATAAATCACTCTAGAAGTTGAGGTGTAATTGGCTTTGGAAATCCCCATCTCCTCCTGCTCCCTCTCCACCACCTTGCTTCTCAAAACTCCCTGCTCTCCATGCTCTTCTCCAAGATATCTCCTCCTGTTCCCTCTCATGGCTGTGGGGATTTGTCTGTCCAAGGCAGCACAACTGCTAACTGAGCCTGCCCCTCACCCACCACCCATCAGAATGTCACAGCAGTCATTCCCCTGATGGAGCAGCACCTGATTTCAAACCAACCTTGGACTTTCAGCTCTGGACCTGGTGTAGCACCTCCCACAGGGTGAAGAAGAGGAAGGACAGGCAAGAACCTGCAACACTCACCAGCCCCAGACCCAGGCGAGACTCCCGGAAGGTGGAACACCAGCCAATCAACCCGATGATGAACATGACCACAGCGATGGCAAGGATGATCACAGCTGGCAAGAGAGCATATTTGTCCTGCAGAAAGCTGTCATAGCTCCTGTAGGTGTTGATGACATAGGCCCCAACATAGGTGAGACCTGCTGCTGCTGCCTGTGGGCAAGAAAGGAAGTTCTTAGCAGGTATTTATGAAGTATCTGGCCAAGAAAGTAAATATGGGCCTGTTTGTAACAGGGCAATTAACATTTCAACTTGAGAAGTAATGACTGCAGTACACAGCAAATAAAATAGGCTGCTTTTCCAACCAGCTACTCAGTCCAGCTTCAGCACAGAGAAGACAGAACTACTGGGTGCTGCTTGGGTTTGTTTCTTTTTGAGGAAGACTCCACCCTTCCACTCTCACAACAGCATTAACCCCTAAGGGACAAATGTTCTTGACCTCAGCAAAACACAATCCTTCCTTTTCCTGGAGGTAACAGATTCCTGCATCCTCTCAAATAAACTCTCCTCCAAAAGGATGTTTTGGAGGCCAACTCATGGTGCACCAGAGGCAGCTGCCCTGGAGACCAAAGGCTTTTATCTCTACAACTGGGAACAGCCCTGGAAATAACACCAGAAGACTCAGCAATGCTTCCCTCATGGCATTCAAAAGTTCTCTCAAGGGTTACAGCATCTCATCCACCCTCTCTCATCCTGCAGCACAAGACAATGGCTGTAAAAACAAGGCACCATCCATACTCATGTCCTGGAAACTTGAAAGAAACCAACCAGGTTGGTTGCTGAGGACTACAGTTGGGTTTCATCATGGAGCTGATGAGCAGTTCATGACTTCTCCCAGGGCTGCACGTTCTAATTAAATCAAACACTGCTCCCACTGGAGCTGGGACTTGCTAATTCCTTGACCTTGTTTGGTTCCTTCCCTTCCAGCTAGGTCTGGTGCCTGCCCTTCAATTACCTCCAGTTGCAGAAGACATCATTTCAGCCAGCTCTAATCCCATACCACTCTCACATTCCTAGACACTGCCTGTACCTCTAAATGACCAGGATCAGATACACCAAGTGATGAAACCAGGATCAAACCAACCCTTAGAGACATTCAGCACATGTCATGCAAGGTCCTGCTGTGCTGGAGCTCAGGTACTGCAGGTCCTCTACAAAGTGACATACCAGGAATAGTATCAACAACTCTCAACAAGTTGGTTTTCTTACCCACATGCATTGGGTTTTCAGGTGGTCACCGAATCATTGAATGGTTTGGAGGACAAGGAGCTGTTGGACAGAGTCCAGAGGAGGCTATAGAGATGGTGAGAGGGCTGGAGCAGCTCTGCTCTGGAGCCAGGCTGGGAGAGTTGGGGTGTTCAGCCTGGAGAAGAGAAGGCTCCAGGGAGACCTTAGAGCAGCTTCCAGTGCCTGAAGGGGCTCCAGGAAAGCTGGGGAGGGGCTTGGGACAAGGGCAGGGAGGGATGGGATGAGGTTTGCTGTGAGGGTGGTGAGAGCCTGGCCCAGGTTGCCCAGGGAAGCTGTGGCTGCCCCATCCCTGGCAGTGTTGAAGGGCAGGTTGGATGGGGCTTGGAGCAGCCTGGGCTGGTGGGAGGTGTCCCTGCCCATGCAGGGGGTTGGGACTGGATCATCTTTAAAGTCCTTTCCAACCCAAACCAGTCTGAAATTCTATGAAAGACTGAGCAAGGTGTGTTTCTGAAAAGGTCCATCCCATATTTCTGGCCTGGAGAACTGGATGCACATGTGAATCTTCTCCTCCATTCTGCAATGGCATCACCTGGGGAAAGGCAACCACAAAGATGGAAAGAACACTCCTGGGCTAACTCTCCATCATTGTGGAGAAAACACAAGGATGGGATTTGCCCAATATATCCTTAATTTCTAATATTTTCCAGGGCCACTGAGCCCTGTTGGCTCCCAGCCCAGGGAAAACAAAAGCTGATGGAAGAACTTTTCCTCATCACAGAAGTGTTCTGCTCAGCTGGGCCAGCACCAGCTCAGAAAGCAGCTCCAGAAGTTCCTAAAAGGCTTCAGAGCTTGGCCTCTGCTCCCATGGAAGCCATGGAAAACATCCAGGTGACCACAGCAGAACCAGCCTAATGCTCTGGGTTGACTTAAAAACTTCTCCCTACTTTTTCCATGGCACAAAACCCATGACCTCAATAATGCCACAATTACTGTCATGGTTGTCCCATCCTGACTGTGACCCCTGGCAACATGTTTTGGCCAGTTTTTGAAGCCTTCCTGGTAATCATGGGAATGGCTAAAGAGGAAGAGTCTTCTGGGCTCTCAGGTTTTGGGGGAACTCTCAGGCAGCTGCACTATGACTCCCCAGCATGTACCAAGTCATAATCCTCTGTCACTTCACAAATTCCAGGCTAGAGAAAGTACTCCCAGGTAGTCACCCCAAACCAAAGGTGGAGGTGGCCACCAGCAGCATGAAGCTTCCTCCACAGGTGCTCTTAAACTAGACGCCTGTCTCTGGGCACAGCTACTAATGAGAAGGTTTTTTCTGAGGCCTTAGATGCAGCTCAGCACCCAGGTTGGGAAGTCCCACCACAGTTGAGTGCCCACCACCTCAACAGAAGCTCAGAATGACTGTGAGGCCCTCAGAAAAGCTCTTGGGAGGAAGGCAGAATGTTTTAAGGAGGCTGGAGCAAGGGGAGGCGTTGGTCTTTTCTCCACCTAATAGGACAAGAGGGAATGGCCTCAAGTTGTGTCAGGGAAGGTTCAGACTGGATATTAGGAAAAAATCCTTTCTGAAAGAGTGGTCAGGCATTGGAACAAGGCTGCCCAGGGCAGTGATGCAGTCACCATCCCTGGAGGTGTTCAAAAAACATGTGGATGTGGCACTTCAGGACATGATTTAGTGGGCACAGCAGAGTTGGGTTGACGATCTCAAGAGATCTTTTCCAACCTTAATGATTTGATGGTTCCAAGGCAGCCCCTGGGGACACAGAGCAAGGGGTGCCTTCACCCCCCAGGAAGGGCAGCTCAGACTGACTGGCTGGGGTTCAAAAGAAAAAAAAACCCACAAGCTGTGGTTTTGGGCAAGCAAATGAGTCATCTCCATGGAGCTGCAACATCACGTCAACACGAGCTCAAGGGAGCAGCCTCGTGACTGAGCTGATGTGTACAACAAGTTCATGGGCAAAGTGCAAAGTCAACCCTTTGTCCTCCTCAGAGGATGTAAAGCTCTGGTGCACATCCCTAATTCTGGCCTTTGCAAGTAGATCTGCAGCATCATTTACTCTTCCTGTAGGATGTTTTCCAAAAAACAACTCCCTAATATTCCCGTGATGCTTCTGCAAGTGATTCAGGCAAGAGACACATTCATCTCCTCTCTATAGTTTATGTTTTGGGGTTTTTTTCTACCCATTTTCAGTGTGCTTAAGACCCAAAGCAAAGGAAACACACAAGGAATGATGATCAGAGCAGCTGTGAGAAGTGAAGACAAGCTTTGTTGTGAGTAAAGGGCTACCACAAATGAAGCAAAGCATGATAATTGTGCAGCCAATTCACAGAAGTTCTATAAAACCAGAAGTAGCAAAGCACAGAAACATGAGAAGGTCCAGGGTTGAATTCATGGAATCAGAGTTGGGAGGGACCTCTAGAGATCATCCAGTCCAGCTCCCCAACTAAAGCAGGATCCCCTGGAGCATATTTCACAGGGCTGCATCCAGGGGGGTCTGGAATATCTCCAGAGAAGGAGACTCCACAGCTTCCCTGGGCAGCCTCCTCCTCTTGGCCACAAGGGCACTTTGCTGGCTCATGGATCATTTATTTTCTACCAGGACTCCCAGATCCTTCTCCTCAGAACTGCTCTCCAGCAGGTCCACCCCTAACCTCTATGGGTGCCTGGGGTTCTTCCTCCCCAGGAGCAGGACCCTCCACTCACCCTTGTTGAACCTCACTAGGTGCTTCTCAGCCCTGCTCTCCAGCCTGTCCAGGTCACACTGAATGAGAAGTTCCACTGCAGTATGAGGAAAAACGTCTTCATGGTGAGGGTGACAGAGCCCTGGGACAGCCCACATCAATGCAAACACAGACTGGCACTTTCTTGATTGCAACATTCAGGATTGTCTGGATTCTGGTCAGAGATGAAACATGGCCAGCAAGTGGTCAGTTCTAAGTTCTCAACTTCTGCTCCCAAGCAGAAAAAGCTACTGCAATGAGGTCAAAATAATGGGTAAAAATCTGGCTTGAAGGAAGTTCAAATTTTCCTGCCCAAACTGAGATATGGCCACAACGTCACTCTTGGTTTTTAACTCAAAGTGAAGAGTTTGAGCCTGAAGAGCAGGGTTACTCAGCAAGGGAAGGCATTTCAGGTAACAATCTGCTCCCTGCTTTATTTTGGCAGCTGAGTCCCAGAACTGAGCTTCAGAAGTGGAGAGGAAAAAATATTTCAGCACCTAAATCTTAGAGCTCTCTCCTTTAAGCCTTCTGAGGACTTCAGGCAAGTCCAAAATCCAGTGGAAGGATTTCCCACCCCCCCAACATGGCAAAACCTTTAGCTCACTCATAAATGAAAATGAAATTTCTTTAGAAAAGAATTAAGACAAGCAATGCTGAAGTTAGATCTTAGGTCCAAAGTATAAAGTACACCTGACTCAACAAATTGCTGTTGGATCCAAGGGAAAACCCACAACAAACTTTCACAAATACAAAGGTCAGTTTAAGCAACTGCTGTTGGGCAAGAAGAGATCAACTAATTCCTTCCTCAAGCCAAGCATCTTCTCAAACACATCTACAATTATATACAAGGTCACCAGGTTGATTCTGATAAATTAATATTAGAATGATTGCATTTTTTTTAGGCTCCTGCTTGAAGATTTACTGGTTGCAAACCAGCTCACATGATGGAGAAGCTTTGCCCCAGGCAGCTGGCACAAACCCCAGGCAGCCAAGGAGTGATGCAAGGCTGAGTCAGAAGAACCAGTTCAGCTGCTCCATGGGCTGCACCCCTGCCTGCACCTTGCTGTGGTCCACCAGCAGGACACCCTGACCATGTCTCCTCCTCCCCAAACATCCCCAGGAAACGCTGCTGTTGCATCATGAAGCTGATGATTTCCAGAAGACAAGCTGAAGATGTGAGGCAAGTGGAAATTCTGCCAGAAAACCCCTTTTGACAGCTGAACAACAAATCTGGGACC